AAACATGCGTACAAAGTAGCAGTGGAAAGAAAATACTTGTCTTCCTGTCCACGCATTTCATGCCTATCTACGTCTAAGTGTCCTTTTGACAAACTTTTAGAACTATTTACGCTTACATCACCGAACAGAGGATTCTGGTCATCCTTCTTCCCAGTAGTTGGATAGGGCTGCCCTTACTGTTGGACCAAATAATTGCTCGACCATCTTATTTTCCAGTTAACTTATTGCGCGACTAAGTTGATATCAAAGCGGCGGAATTTTGACGCTCATAAATGCGCCTAGTAAGTGAATGTTGTCAGCACATTTTACCTAGACGAAGCTCCTTATAGTCCGTAAATAAAAAAAATAAAACAGTCACTGCTTGTTGAATATTGCGGACAGCATCCGAAAAAAACCGTGGTTTGGCCCCGGACGTCATTTGGGATTTGGGCATTTCCACTAACCCCTTAACTGGTGTGGTGCTGGCTCACACCTCAACTCTCCTCTGGGCAGGCGGATTCAGACTTCTAAGCCTAATCGTATTGGGTGCTGCGGCAACCAGAGCCATGTCCACTGTTCCGGCAAGTATTCGCCACGTGTCACTTGACTGGAAAGACGGCGGTACGACGGACGGTATGAAGATGATCACATTTTAGTGGGGTAGGGTTTCCAAATAGGGTCATCGAAGGGTCCTTATGTATTATAGCGACCTACTTAAATGTCTTAAGTAGGTCGAATTACCAATAATCTTCCAGTTTTCTACACGCCATCCGTCGATCCAGCAGGGATTTGATGATGGCATTGAACTGCAGAGCGATCCTCCGAAGGTCACCGCATACCATAACCGCTTAAGTCAGTATACTAAGCGAAATTAGCCTTTTAAATTAACCGCGGAATAACCGCTTACTTACAAACTTTAAGTAGGATGATTTACACAATCTCCCCACTTTTGTACTTCGTTAACCTTTTTTTCTAGTTGGTGTTGGTGGTTCCACTATAAAATGTACCTCAATGAACTCGCCCGAGGGTAGGGCACACTCCCCCCACATAAACACGTTCACCGTTGGTCGGTCGGGGGGTTAGCGATGATATTAAAGCCTATTTCAGTGTCTTCTCCCAAGATTTGAGTACGCGACCCAACTTTCCCTCGTAACTTTTTGTTATTTTACAGAAATATTGCGATCTTATTTGTTC